ATTGTTCTTAAGTGAAAAATTTTATAAATTTCTGTTCTGGTTGATCGATCAATGTATGCCAAATGTTTCTTTGTATGGAAACAGCTAATATTACCATGACCATATATATGTATATAATTTCTCCCTTACTGTGTCATGTATAAAAAGAAAAATGAACCTTTTGATTTATCAGAAAAACCATGTTTTTCACCTGGAATAGAAAATGAAATGCAATCAAATTCATAAAGAAATAACCCGAGTTAATTCAATTTATTATATTTTTCGGGGTCCTTTGAATAAATGTAAAATATTTACCAAATTAGTTAGTTTTTTTTTTGTTTTTTTTTAAAGTAAACATCTTTTTCATAAATGTAGATTTACCTTTCTTTTTATTTTTATTTCTATATTTTATAAATTTATCTAACGTGTGGGATATTTTCTACTTTAAATAAAGAATTATGCAGCACACTTTAAAATGTAATAACTTTTCAAATATTTACTTTTTTCTTTTTGATGAATTTGGATCAAATATGGATCGGAATCTGACAGAATGATAGGATAAGGAACAAATAGGAAACATTTATAAATTTAATATGTTTCCCCTTTATTAAAGCTTCATCAGAGAATAAGATATGGAAAAAAAGAAAGAGAAATTCTGGTATTTTTAATTTTTATGTTTTTCATTGGTTAAGCAAACTTCACATGCATTTCTCTTGTAAAGCAGCATTTGCATTACGTGTTTTAATTTTATCATGATTCTAGTTTGTCTATGTGGAATTCAGATTTTTTTAAAAATGCTTTGTACATACATTTTTCTATAAAAACCTGCCCCAAATATGTCATTTAAGAAAATAATTCTTCAACCCAGAATTTTGAAGGGAAGAAAAAAAAACATGCTGGGTGGAGAGCACCGTGTTAGCAATGCAGTAAAGTTAAAGATGCGTGAGATAAAGATGCTGTGTCAGATACAGTGGTTCAGTCAATCTCATAAAGTTGAACATTAGAGATAAACAAAAAAAAAATCCCTACATTCCAAAAATTTTCTCCAAGTGTCTGTGACAGTAATGCTGAAAAGTTGTTGGACCAACCAAGAAATTCTTTAGTCACCAAAATTCCAATGTTTGCTCATTTGACCAAATATTGGAAAATTAGTTAGACCAAGAACTTTTTCAAAAATCATTTTAATGTTTCTTGTAAGACTAACATATTGTTCTGTCACTAGAGTATGTGCAGAAATAAAATGCATGTATTTGCATATATTCGTGAGATGATAGAAAATATATAAATGTATATAAAGGATTGGGTGCATGTGTTAATTCTATTACACCCATAGATTCCTTGTATAGCCAAGGACTATAACAGTATCATGCCAGGGAATGCTGCAGTAGTTTCAATAGCAAGCAGATTTTACAGGGTATAATTATTAGCTGCATGCTCAACCAGTTTGAATCCAGAATTCTTCCTGAGACAATCATGGCTTTCTGATTTTTTCTCTTTAGCCTATTAATGTCCACCATAAAATCTAGTATATAACCAAGCTGTTAACTTTCCACATGACTAAAAACTAAAGATTTGGAAGTAAACTCCATTCAATACATCTATAACAGTGAACTTGACTAGTCTAATTCCCTGAAAAACTTTTTTTTTTAAATAATTTTATAAATTTCAACAGTAACATTAACTTTTTGGTCAGTAAATACTAAATATTTTCAGTATGGAAACTGCTAATTTTATCAATACATTTAATAAAAATCTGATATTATAGGTTTCGAAAACAATATGGTATTATAGTTATATTTAATATTAGATTATATTAGGTGTGTGCAAAATTTCACAGTGCTTTTTTTTTTTTTTTTTTTTTTTTTTTAAAAAACTATAGATATGAGAATTAATTTTTTGTTGGAAGGTTCTGTGGATCATACATTTTCAGAACAAAATATTTCTAATGTTTTTTTTTGTTTTCCTGCATATAGGCTGAGATGATAAAATATTCATTTTATAATTCCACTGATTAATATTTTTTTATAAATATTGCTGCAGATATTTAAAGCAATGAGGAAATACCAGTTTTATATATGATACACAAAATCACACTCACTAATAAAATGTGGTAGGTACTGAAAGATTTATGACATTGAGTGCAAATTTATTATATCATCTGAGATTATCCACATACTATAAATGTATCATCACCTGACTCCATTTCTGGCAGTCGTGTGGTAGGTTGTGAGTTTCAACAGAGCTTATCTTTCTTCACTCATTGATCTTGTCTGTTCACTTTGTTTGCTGTCTATCTTGCCTCTTCTTCCCCTGCACTGTTCCCCGAGCAATGGTCTTGAAGAATTTTTGTCACATGGCTATATGATCTATATTTCTTTTGCCTCCACTGTGGTCAGAGCTTACAGCCATATCATATTCAAACACAGGTTCTTACAATCACCAAAGTTGAGCAACATTGAGCCTGGTCAGTACATAGATGGGTGACCACTTGGGAATACCAGGTGCTGAAATCTGGGATATGCAGCTAGGATAATGGCTAATGGCTCAGAATTGAAAATCAGAAAGTCAAGTTCCAATTCCAGTCGGGTTTGTTATATTCATTTACATGCAAATACTCTTGGGAAACACATGAATCCACCTCCTCTTCTCTCCCAGCTATTGGTTAAATAGTAGGACTTGTATCAGTAAATCATTATTATTTCCAAAATATTCTTATAATCTAAAAATATTTTCTGGCCTTGAATAATCTGCAAAAGGTTAAGCTATAAAAAATAATCAGTTCACTATGGTCAGAAGGTTTTCTTCCTGGCCAACTTGCTTTCTGACAGTTTTTCTGATTGGATGGAGTGAAATTCAACAATAATTATTATTAATTTTTGACTAATCTCTTTCATTTTATTTCTGATGCTTTTTGTGTTTTATCATAACTCTCAGATTGTTGTTTCCTGATATTTAAATAAGGATTTATTGAATAAGTATTTTTAGCAACAGACTATATTTGAATCCAGTATATATAAGCAAGATATATATATGTAAGCAAGATTTTAGCTTTTTATCTTTGCCTATTGAGTTTACAATTACTTCATTACTTTTCTATATTAGTCATTTTCTATGCCAACTGAAATATTTTTTATATATCTTTTTTTACTAAATGTTAACTCAATACAAGGCCCAAGAGCCACTTTAGGTAGAGGATTACTAAATGAGGTTGTTGTATGGACATACAACGGGGAAGGGGAAATAAGTGCCAATTATATACAATAGGTAATGGCTGACCCTAGACTTGAAGAAGTTAAGATTGTAGTGTTCAGGGAAGGATTCTTTCAAGAGTCTGTACCAAAAGGTAATGGCTCTTGGGAAGAAATTTTTCTAGACAGGAAGAAAAAGTGACAAACACAGGAGAAAATAGTCTGGCTATCACCAACTGGACTGGGAGTTTATTCACAGAGACTTAGACATTGGCATGCAACAGAGACTTATGGAGAAAGATGTTCAGGTGTGCAACAATCCTATAATCACACCTAGTTTTGGGTTTGATGATGATGAAGAGCTTGTAAAAATTGTTGGAAATAAGCATTTAAAAATTCTCTTTGTGTTGTGAATAAACACCAAAAAGAGTGTTAAAGATATTTACCAAACTAAGTTTACTCTAATGCAAGACGTCAAGAGTGAGAATCAAATGACTTATTCTCTAGTATTAAGTCTGTAAGAAAGGGAACAGCCCAACATGCAAATTACAAATTGGAAATACCAAAATCAAACAAGTACAACAATTTAAATATCTAGGAACTGTATTAAGTAAGGATGGAAAGTGTGATGCCAAAATCTGAAGGTGCATTGGGATGACAAATTATTAAGAAACGGGAAAATTTCATAAGAAACAAAAAGAATACTAAACTGTTACATAATATTAGTTCTCTTGTATGGAAGTGAATGCTGGACAATCTCTTCACAGATGAAGAAGAGACCTGAAACAACAGAAATGTGGTTCTATAGAAAGATGCTGAGTATACCATGAAATGTATATATGACCAACAACAATATTTTAGAGAAAATGGAACTAAAAGGAGACATGTTTAACATCAAAAAGAGTTGAAATTTCTAGGGCCCATAATGAGGAAAGAGGGCTTGGAAAATTTGACCCTCACAGAACATATTGAAGCAAGAGGGACAGTGAAAAACCATGCTTGTGTACATGTATGGCAGAACAGGGTTTAGGAGAGGTGACAAGAAAACAAAATTTACTAAACACTTCAAAGGACGAGAAATTGTGGAAAGCTATGATCACCAACGTCCCGAAGGGACCTGGCACATAAAAGGAGGAGAGTAGTTTTCTAATTATTGCTCTACAGTAAGATAGCATCAAGTGTGTTACTGATATTTACTATGCCAAATATAAAGCTACAAATATATACAGTAGCCAGAGTAGATTGATAACCATTGTTGGATGGTAAGGTTTATAAGTGTTATACCATACCTATGTATTATAATACATATGTCCCAATCCTTATAACTACAGTGGAATATACTGTATGTTGGATTCACTGGGATTCACCTAGATTCACTTCTAGCAGTTGATTACTTACTACACACTGTTTGAGCATCTTGTAGGTTGTTCTTGTTATAAATATTATCATTCCATTTCCAACCTTCATTTTGGTTATTCTTATTCAGTAACCTTTTCCTTGTTTACAACAATAAGAAAAATATTCCTAACTAGGCATAGGCCTCTTTAGTTTCATCAGATACGAATTTGAAATGAAAGCGCATAAATAGTTTCCTCTTAAGCATCCATTTACGGATTTTTCATGCCTTCCTTGCTGCATTCTCACTACTGTAATAGTGATATTAATTTTGGCAGTTACTTTTGTTTTGTATATGCTATATTTTTTTTTTTTTTTCTACATTTATCATTTTTCTAAATACAAACATTTTGCTGCATTTCAGACTCTGGCAAACAAAACCAGGTGGTGCCTGTATCTAACTTCACAAATGAATTGGCTCATCTTAATGAACAAAACATGCAACTTGAACTTCAGGTATCAAATCTAAGTCGGGAGCTCGAGGAACTACGAAAGACCAAGACAACATCCCGTATTCAACAAACTGGTTATGGTGAACTAAAGCTGGAACTAATTCAAACAAAACGGGAACTAAACAGAGCCAAGGAAGCATTGCAAGGTAAGAAGCACATTCCATTTGTTTTTTTTTAAATTCCTACTGAGAAAGTCATAATTTTACAGTAATTTTTTTTTGAAAGTATAATGAGAGAAAGAAAGGTTTATTTTCCTATTTGTATTTCCCCCATTATGGGTATTATTATATTATAACATTGTTATATTGCATTGTTATTATAATAACACCATACTTCATGGATGAAACAGAATGACTGAAAGGAAAAGGAATGACAAACATGCTTTGTTCTCAAAGAGACTTTTATATCACTAAGACATAATAATAGTTGGCCACTTGTATTCGAGGATATCCGTCTACTAGGATGGCTAGCCGATCCATATTGCAGACACTTGTTCAGGTGCATTTGTGTTTATTCAACACCCACAGAACCCACCTGTGATTTATACTGCAACTATGCCAACCAGACCGTAGTAACAGTTTCTTGGAATGAGTGTGTTATCTAGCATGATCAACAATTTGAACAAGGTCAGCATGCTCAAGCCCTCTGCCATGATGACTTGTGACTTTGTGCTAGCACAGCTATCAACAACCAACAAGGGTTTCATTTCACTCATAAGGCTTGGGTCAACCCATGGTATGGTTTTCAGGCACTTTCCAAAGGTGCCGCATGCTGGAATTGATCCCTCCAATCCAATAACATCAGGAAGTTTCCTTCCTGACAAATCGACCATGGTGAGATTTGAACCTGAGTCTCATAGACAGAATGTGAACATTCTAACCACTCTGCCATATATCACTAAGACATACACAAAACACACATACATATATATATATATATATATATATATATATATATATATATATATATATATATATATATATATATATATATACACATACACATGTGTCCCACACAGAAAGAAAGGATGTGTCTGGAGAAGCCATGATTAGGATTCCAGATTCAAATGGGCAGGATTCACCTATGTCTCAGATGAGGACATATTCCACAAAGGGGAAACAGTAAGTCTTGGGTTTTCCCAAATTGAGGACTGTAAGCTAGAGTTTCTTTCTATACCTGGGACAGATATATTCCCAAAAGAAAACAGTTCCATTTGCTTGTAAGCTGCTGGGGGAGGCAGATTTAGCCTCAGCCAGGGCCACTTGGCCCAGACTAAAAAAAAAAAAGCAACTGCTTGGTTTGGTTGTTGTAAACAAAACTGAATACCTGGTCAATCTGTATGAAGTGACGTCAGTAAATGGCTGTCATGTGACTATCTCAACCAAAGGGAGATAATCGCTTTCTCTACAAAAGTAATATTAAATTGTTATTAATCAATGATATAAATGTTAAAAGTAATTACAAAGAACAATATAAAGGAAATTTGTTTTCATTGTCCAGTAATAAAATTTCTGGGTATTTTAATGAAAAGTTATCTGGGAATCTCTCTTATATCTGAATGTCATAGTGATAAAAAATAGTTTTAATGATTTAAACTTAATGCAATCTAAATCTTCTAAGTTAGGAAAGTATGGAGGATAAACCCCAATGACTTTGTTTTTCAAAGATTCTTCTTGGTTTATTTCTGTCAAATTTTACATTGTGATGCTGGAAGATGGACACTTTCTCTTTGCTAAAGCTGAATATTTCTAGTAATGCACCATTTTGCATAATTGAACAGTTAATAATAAACATCAGCAATGAGGATTTCTTCAAGATCCAGTAATTTAGTTTATCATTGTCATATTCCATGAGATACATAACAAAATCTTCTGTAGATGATGTTCGGGTTTTGGTCTTGTGGTCAGTTTGTTATAAAGTGATAGTATGTATTTTTCTTGTGTTTTTTTTTTTTTTTTTTACATTTGTTGTTAATATACAGCACCCATTTCTCATCCAGTAATTAAATGGAAAGTTTTCATTTCTGGGGTCTGCAAAATGTTGTAAATAGTTAAGTGATATGTTTGGTTGGTTTTATAGCATAAAACTGTTTCAAAGTTAATGTTTTCATTTTAGTACTTTTGACCATCTCATTCATGATAAGTGTTATGTCTTCATTGCATGGAATGAAAATAACACAAGCAAGAAGTAGTATGCCTTAATTCAAAACCATGAAGAAGACAACAAAAAAAAGCACTTCACTGCCTTTTTCAAAGATGGTAATTTCTATATAATAAAGAAATGGAATCTGTGGACAGCCATGACCCACAATATCCTGAAGAGACATAGCATTTAGAAAATAAAACTGCTATATTTTTCTTACAGTTCTTAGCTCTTTAAAAACATTTTTGACATTAATGAGTGTATTTAATATTTTCTTAGACTATGCCCTGCACATTTACAAATGCAAATGGGAAGAGATAGGCACTGAACATTTAAGCATGCCATACCACATCCTAAATGAATCTACCATTAGAAGACAATAATCCTACTTTTCCCACCAATGTACTGATGATGAAACGGGAGAGGACAATACTGATGACATAAGTATCCATAATTGGTATAACAATGACGTTGAACAGAAAATCAACATTGTCTACCATGTGTTTAAAGAAATAGGAATCAAGATAAACCAGAAACAGAAACTATGATCTAAAACTGGAATGAAAACAGTGATGACACACACCCTGAATCAATCATAAAAATTCAGGATGTGGAATTAGTAAATACTAAACACTTCAAATACCTTGTTGCATGAATCACTTATGAAAAATTTAGCATAGGGGAAAAGAAAATTCAACAGAATAAGTTGTGTTATTTGTAGTTTAACCAAACAGTGCAAGTTGCTACAAAACCAAAACATCAACCTGAAACCGTGTGTCAAATTTTTAAATAACCTAGTCAGATTGAGATGTTCATATAGATATTATGCATGGCACCAAACCCATTCAGAAATATCTAAACTGTCAGCTCTATACAACCACTTTCTAAGATTAATGGTTAAACAAAGTTTTGAACAAGTGAAGCCTGAGGGTCTTGGCAAAGACCATCTTTCTTTGAATCTTATGGACTGGCAATACAGAATCACAAATAAAGAACTGTACCAAATAAAAGAAACCACATCACTTGAAGACTACCAGCAGCAGCAACAAATAAAATGAATATTAAATGTAACTAGAAGAGAAAATAATGACATAATCAAGATATTGACATTCCATACCACTTCAAATAAAAAGTTAAGAAGGAAAAGTAAAAAAAAGTATAAAAAGTGATAAGAGCTACTGGACTTGAGAAACCTATTTTCCTGAGAAATTGTTTCAAGAGAGATTATGTAAATTTCAACCAAAAGTGGCACCAGCTGCTCCGTCAATGAATGCCAAATGTTTCCATGTAGGGAAACAGCTAATATTATCATTAACATATTTGTCATTTACCCTATTTACATACATCGAATTTGATACATGGACAGATTTGTAATAAGTTCTTTAACCTTTAGCACTCTGTAGGTGACTATTTTCACCAAGGAAAATGTTAGTCCTGCCAATGCAAGTTGAATTTGAATTTCTTGGTTGTGTAGTCATATCCTTCTATGGCAACACCTAAAACAATCTTGACGGAAATTGAGAGCCAGGCAACTGCAATTTCAACTATATAGAACTAATATATAAAACGGTATATTTTGAGGGGATTCCACCATATACAGTAAAAGGGGAAGTAATATTTATAAATGATGCACTGTTAAATGTTAAAATGCTTGATTTTTTTAAAAAATGATGAAAATTAAGAACTTTCATACAAATTAAAAACTTTGTTTCCTTATATTAAAGGCTTCTTTATTCATCATATTCCATTTTGGCAGATTGGTAAAATCAGATCAAGAAATTTGTTTTGCCTTTTACTTAGATAGATGAACAGCTTCCCATCATAAATTTCTTTTGTTGTTGCAAAAGTTTCCAACACTATATTTTGCACACAATTAGGGCCATTTTAGATTTTTTGATGTTTACTCTGTTATTTATATGATCTAAGTCTAAGAATCAGATTATGAAATTTTGTTAATAACTCTGAGACAGTATTTTTAAATCTGTAGGATCTACTCTCTCTGATCTTCAAAATAAGGAGGAAGATATTCTACATTGAAGTATTCTGTCCATTACTTTATTTGATAAGAGTTAAATAATATTACAATTTTTTTTAATCCTTTCACACCAAGCAAGGTAATAATGCTACTAAGATGCTAGGGGTTACTGGAGTGAAAGAGAATGAAAAGACTTTAGTGAGGAGAAATGACAATAAAAGAACAGCGTTTAGAAAGAAAGAAGATGGCAATTGATATTGCATTTAAATTTTTGAAGATTGTAGGCAGCAGAGAAGCAAAAGATCTGAAGAGAATTCCAAATGTGAGAAGTGAAGTGTAAGAAAAGAAACTATTAGACCTGAAAAGAACAAGCTGTATGCAAAAGGGTGGATATAAAGAAATTCTTACTTGTAATATTTCTCAGAGGGACACAGCTAGCCTGTGTGATATCTTTTATATTCCTTCTTTCATAGCTTTCATTCATTCCCCTAACTGCCACTAGCTATCACATCTTTTTTTTTTTTCTTTTTTTAAGCAATTCACCTCAAGCAAAATGGGAGTGCCACTAGTATGCAAGGGGCTACAGAGAGTGTAAGTAACGGAAAAGACTGGGTATAGGGGAGAAAGGATAGAAAGAAAAACAGAGAAGGATAAAAAGAGAATGGGGATCAAGGCAACAGAAGATGTTGATTGACATTACATTTAAATTTTTGAAGACTATAGTTATCAGGGAAGCAAGTAAGAGGAAGGGAATTCCACTGTAAGGAAGTGTGAGAGAAGAAGCTGTTGGAGTAGAAGAGGCAGTTGTATTTAACTGTTTCAACAGTGAAAGTGTGTGACCGAGATGTCAACCTAGTAGCACACTTAAATTCATGCAGTCAGAGCACCAGTGAAAATAGCTAATCGGAAAATATTTATAGAAAAGACAGAGGGAAGCCACATTACCTCAGTGAGAAAGTGACTCGAGTCAAGATGCCAAGTCAGGACTGATGACATTGCATATCCGTCTTTGGGTTTTGTCAAGAACCTCAAAATGAACAGTGTTCCATGCATGGATGAATGGTAGATTTGTAGATGTGAAGGATGGACTCAGATGAGAAAAAACTAACTAAATAATAAGTTATATTTAGTAAAACTGGGAAAATTGCAAACGAGTTTTAAAAATTCTTGAAAAGTCATTTTATCCCAATAACCCTCTAACTCGAGAGGCCCCCAGGCCTTGAATAGGGTGAAACTTATTTTTAAAAAGACTGCTATATTCTTTTATTTTTACACAAGATGAACAACCTTGAATACATGTCAGACATTTTCTACTGTGAAGCACTTCCTGTTTAAATTTGGATATCTTGCTTCTATCAGACATTTTTACAATGTCAGCAGTTTGATAGAACTGTTTAATAGTCACTATTTGTGACATCCTATCTTTTCTGAGAGAAACAAATCTACACACAAAATTATAAATGGATCATCTATCACAGTAGCAGCATAAAGTAGCTTACCTCAACTACAACTTTGTTTTGACTTTAAAAATTTGGTCACCCTAGCATTTTTTTTTCATTAAATAACCATAGACAGGTTGATCTATTATGTTAATTCCATCAAATCAATTGTTTTGCTCTATGTGGTACTTTGTTTTGTTGTTTCAAGAATTTTTTTAAAATTCTTCAAATAATCCATTGTATCAAAACCAGAATTTTTCTTTTGTGATGGCATTGTCACTTTACATAAAAGGTGGCATAGGGTCATAGAATTCCAAGAAAAATACTCTGATAACTGAACAATGAATCTATAAATAAAAAGTTGTCATCTTTCTAAAGAAATTAGCTTTCTTATCTAATTGTTGTCAGAAAATAATCTTCCATAATTGAGCAGATACAATATGTTCACTAAAATATTGGAATTCTTTCATCTGGTTTCATTTAGTAAAACATAATTTGTTTTGCCTTTTAGATTGTGATTTTTCTCTGGAAATGGTTAAACTTGTCCATCTACTTTCCTCTCTTAGAGAAAAATATGATATTTGTGGGAGATTACTCACAATTAATATTTACAGTGACAGAAAATATTCTATTAACCTTTAGTTTTCTAACAGATTTTTAGAACAATACTAAGAATTAATGAGAAAATGAAGTTGTATATGCAAAAACAATGAAGAAGAGGAAAGAAGACAACAGCTAGTGTCTCTGCATTTGTATCTAGTGATTTGTGCATAGCAATTAACTATGTTTCTTTGAAGTTGCTGTGGTACAAAGTGGTGTTTTCGATGCAAGTGAATCGTCTACTACTGATTTTATTTCCAGTTGCTGACTTTTTGCCTGTTTTCTGATTAACTATCAGCTACTTGGTTTAGGGTTTTGAAATCTAAATAGAACCATATAAATGGGTGATTATTCTATCTGAATGAATACATGATATATTTTCTACTAAGCCTGCTGAAATCAACTCAATCCCAGTGAAGCTGGTTTTCTTTTTCTTTCAAAAACCATGTGTGTCACATCCATTATTTATTTATTTTGTTGTTTGTGATGTCTCCTGCCATTGGTCAATTGTTGTGCAGTGATATACGTATGTATAGTCTACAGGTCTGAAATCTCAGTTTAATTACATTAATTTTCTGTCTTATAGTAATTGTCTATATTTATAACTAAATACATCATACATATTAATAAAAAAGATCAAACCAGTAATGTAGTAGCAATGGTCTAATAATGTGCTGATATCAACCTAATAATGTAGTAACCATAACACAATAATACCAGCCTAACAACACAGCAACTATGTGGTAAAAGATATCACCATATTTAATAATATTATTATTAATTCTTAACTAGTATTTCTTATATATATATATATATATATATATATATAATTATTTCTTTAAAAAAATTTATAACATAAATATGTTATAAAATCACTACAAAAATAGCCATTTTGTTTCAGCACCTCCGGTGTCTTATTAAGTGATGATGTTGAATGTAAAATAAATGGCTTTAAAAGTTTCAAATTAATTAACGATCCTTCGCAAGGGCAAAACATTGTTACAAAAGCTAGAATGACCAATCAAAATACAAGTATAGGAAAATTCAAAAAGCTTGATAACGAAGTCATGTCATAATAGCTATTCAGATCTTTAAAATAGGGGTAATATTAAAAAAGAACTTCTTCTAACCAATAATTATTAAATTATATGATAAAATTTGATATTAAAAGTAAAAATTAGTAGTGATTTTATAACATTTATGTTATAAATTTTTTTAAATAAATAATTATATCTGCTCTACTCTGTATTGAGCACTCTTTTAAGAAGAATATATAGCAATTATCAGATTGTCATTCCTGATCATCACATAAACAGAATAAACCAGAAATAGAGAATGGTCATAAAGTTTTATAGTCTTTAATGAAACCACTGACAAAAAAGCAATTTTAGGTGTCCACTATGAAATTTAAAGATTTCATGTTGATATATTGTAGGTGTGTGCATGTTCAAATGTCAACACACTTGGGTTTTTACAACAGACCACTTATTCTTTTTTTACGGTGACTGTAGGGAAACAAAGTTCTCAATATCTCTTGGCTATGTCCATTTTCTTTTCCTGGTCCAGAAGTAATTTAGGGTAAGTAAGGATAAGAATGGTTATAGTCATCAAGCTCAAGTCAGCTTTGCACCGAGTTGGAACAACCAAATTACTTCAAGAGTGGCACTTCAACAAAATATGATCGAATGCCCTGCATTGGAAAGTTGTCCTTTCCAGAAGTGGGGTCATAAAAATGTGTTCCGATGACCAAAAACCCTTTCTGTTTTCTTTATTACTAGCATATGGGGAAAATGTATTTATTTTTTTTTTTTTTGTTATATTTCCATCCTGGATATGACAAACTATATCTGACAGCAAGGCCTCTGATCAGGAGATTGGAGGTTTCAAGGCTCATGGAACCACCTCTTAAATGCTGTTGTTCCTAAGTCCATACTAACCCGGTGTGGTAGCACCAAGTTAGGGTTCCAGCTATGGGCAAATAGTGAACCCCCCAAACAAAAATATATTTTTATAGCTAAATGTCAATCAATACAACACTAAAAAAAAGTATAAAAATACATGTTTATAGTAAAATTACCAGCAATACATTTTTGTACTGAAATTACCAAGAATACATTTCATCTACAACTATATATCTATAACACATACATTTACTCTGGAAATATGTACAAAATATCTGTAGTTGAAAGTATAAAATTGCATACAAAATATTTAGATTTTGGCATTAAATAATCCATAGAGGTTGATATGCCACTAAACAAAATTCAAAATTCTTTATTTTATTTCATTTTCCCACAAAACAGTTATGGTTATCAAAATATTGATTCAAATGTTATTCTTTGGATCTCATTGTTTGAAAGCAAAATGAAATTTATTCAGCATTTGTACAGTAAATTAAAAGTTCTCACTTCAAATTTTAGTGAGCCAATCATAACAATAAATCTGATTTGCTCAAAACTCACTTCTCTAAAAGTGTCAAATCAAATCTTCACCTTGTCAAATAATTTTCTTTCTTTTAGGTAGGCAATCATAATTTCATTTGAACTGAATATTGAATTTTAAATATTTGCAAAGTACTCTTCACTGCCATCTAAATCTTCTCTGCCATCTGTAGATTTTCATTTTCACATTTCCAGATGTCAACATCAAACAAGTACTGAACAATAGCCTAGTGGGTTAAATCTTGTGAGTTCAATCCCTGAACTCAGTGGAAACAGGGCAAGCAATAAAATTAAGAACTAGACGAGATATTCTTAGACATGGGCAGTGGAATGAGATCATTCTACTTCTGTAGATTAAATAAAGGGTTCATTTCAGAATTCCTGGCAGAATGAAATATGCCTGATGAAGCCTGGAGGATACAATGGCCAAAACGTTATGATGATAACAACAAAGATGAGGACAATAGTCTGAATGTAAGCAGTGTAAATCTATGAAGTGATTTAAGGGAGTATGGAAAATGATACACCAAAATCTGAAGATACAATGGATTAGCAAAAGATGCCTTCCAAAAGCTAAGCAAAGTACTAAGAAACAGAAAAATCTCATTAGAAACAAAGAAACAAGTGCTGAATTACTATGTGATAGATATCCTCTTGTATGGTAGTGAATGCTAGATAATCTCCCCACAGATGAAGAGAAAACATTGGAAACAACAAATGTTGGTTCTACAGAAGGATACTGAGAATTTCATGGATGGAGCAAGTAAGCAACAAAGAAGTCTTAAAATGGTAACAAAAAGAACACTTATACTCAAAATCAGAAAGAGAATGCTGAAATTTCTTAGATAATGAAGAAGGGGGCTTGGAATGCTTAACCCTCACAGGACATATTGAGGGGGTGAGGGAAAGGCAATGGATAAGCTTGTGTGAGTGGATGGTGGCACGAGGAGTGGAAGGCTTGAAAAAGAGAGAAGCATTGCTATCAGTCACAAGGGATAAGAAGTTGTGGAGAGCAATAATCAACCAAATCCTCAAGGGACACAGCACATAGAAGAAAAACTATCACTTCAATACAAATTTCTTTTGATCAAACATGTTTTTTATTCATTTTTATGACCATGTTTCTCCTGAAAAAAATAAGAAAAATATTAGTCTGTACACTTGTTTATGTGTGTAGAAGAGACTTATAAAATATATAAAAATACACACAAGTCAGTTCATCAATAAGTCCATAGATTGAAAATATCTGGTCAAAATTCAGCTAATAACTCTATGTAAGGCTAAAGACTTACTGATCCACCTTCATATATATTACTGCATAGTTACATGTTTTAAAAATTATTTCAATTTTTTGTTGATGTTTCTATTTTTCATCTTTCCCAACTGTAT